TTATTATTATTATTATTACCAGCCGACCCTACCCCTCTTTTGTCTTTGGTCGTTTGTGGCATCGCTGTCAAGTGACGACTCCGTAACTGAATCGTAACATCGAGTGTCTTGTGGTAAAAGTGGAGCATCTGACATAACTTGCATTTGGTATATGATCTGATGTTGCTGGCTGCAACTCTACAAAGTAGCTACTCGTAATAACAGAAATGACGAATCCCTTGTAAAGCGTTTAACCAATCCTCTTTTCTTGTCTCTATATCTATTACCATATCCGGAGAATTCGGATCATGCCATGTGCGCAAAGAATATAAAAAGAGAGATGTAGCAATGCCGCTGTACGGGCACGGGGGAGTCTGGAAATAAGACAGATGCGATGCGATGCGACCTTACTCGGTACGGAGGCTTAAGCTTAGCTGAGCTGAGCCCTAGCCTAACGTAGTCGGCATTAGACCCTTTAGGTGCCATTGTCCCTGTCGCACAATCCCATATCACCCTCCCACAATCCCATCCCCTCGCTGTTTCCCTCTGTGATCCACAGCCTCTTCTCCCCTCCTATCACTCACTACTACTACCACGACTCTCACAATCTCACTTCTCACTGCACCTCCTTCCATTTACTCGACTCGAATCCTCGATACACATACTCTACTACCAGCATTCTTTTATGGACTCTACATCCACTGTCCCTCCAGCTGCTCTCGAGTTGACTCGATACCCATCAATTTATTTCTCCACCCAGCAGTCCCACGATTGATCCTCTTCGCAACAGAGCTTTCTGCACTTAGCGTCCTCTGCTTCCTTCACCCGCATCCTCTTTGATTACACATCTGGTACAGTTTCACAGAACCGCGATGCAGGAAAGACCTAGTATGCCCGCCAGGGACTCGTCCGGCCGACACATCTCTCTCTTGAACGATGATTCGATACTGGCAAGCAGCCGTATTCATCGTCCATCGCACGGGGCCCCGGATTTGATACGTTCGTCTTCAAGGGACTCGTTGCCCAGTAGTGCTGCTTCTCCTGCAACGCCAGACCTGACGCGTGCGGATTCCTTCGACTCCCATAGAACCTCCGAACCTCGTTCGCCCATTACTCCAGACTCTCTCACCTCCGCCGCTGGACGACCTGATTCATTCACGAACAACGGAGGAGCGTATAAAGATTCAGTACAACCTTCAAAGTATGATCAAAGAATGCATCCTTTCGATTATAATTCCCAGAGCCAGTACCAAATGCCATCCAGACCATCATATCACGAACCTAGACAGTCTCCGTATCCGCATCCGCATGCCTACGACGATGAGCCTTATCCAAATCGCAGTGCTAATGTCCCTATTACGGAGAAGGGCCAAAAGAGATACGTTTGCCGATTTGCGAATGAATTCAATTGCGACAAAACCTTTACAACATCTGGGCACGCATCACGCCACTCTAAAATCCACACTGCCGAGAAAGCAGTGCCTTGCTCTTACAATGGATGCCCCAAAAAATTTACTCGGTCTGATAACATGAAGCAACATCTTGAGACGCACTTTAAAGAGCGAACTCGGTCCCCGATAACAGGCAGGTCAGGCCCTCCAGTTCTCACGAAACCAGCATGTATCAAGAAAGTAGGCTACCGAAGCCGCAGCAGTTCCGTTTCGGAGCTATCTCCTATCAGCACCGGCAATTTGGACCCTGCTTTGAGGTTACCCGTCCCTGCATCTGCTAGTCACCCATACGATTTCAGTCCAAGTTTCGAGCACGCGTTGGATTCGCCCTCTAGAAGCGGCTTGGACGCTCTTGCGATGGCGGCAGCACAGGCTCCTCTACCCTAGGCTCGACGCAGGAAATTTGATCGCGAACCCTACCAGGTATCCGGAGATTCCGAACATTTCGAGAGGTGTCACTGTTGTGTGTTTCAACAGGCCACACTTTCGCCTGACATGGGCATAGGCCTGAATGCATCTCAACCCCGCTATATGTGGTGGCGCCACGCCTCACCCTTTCTGTCACTTTTTTCAATCGGGCGGGTTTCCTTGGAATATACCATGCACATGCACGAAGGGTTCCAGGGTCTCCCGGGATTGGGTATGCGTTTGTCGAATCCAGGGCCTCTGGTCTTCTGGTGTTGTGTTTATTGGGAGCGGGGTTTATTGGCTAGATCGTTTTGGATCGGAGGGCCTGGGCGCATGGCGTACGAATAATAGGTCTCTGGATGGAAGATCTTACCTTTCTAACGATACCAACGGCCCCTGTAGGTTAGGCTTGGTATGGTAACACAATCCCCTCCCATTACCTATTGATGGGTTTTGGGGATTAAAACAATGATACCCGGTTCGAGTACAGCAAGCACACTCAGGTTTGTGACTTGTACAAAAATAACTGTATATGCATAAAAGAAGCAAATCAAAATAAAGTAATTCAAAGCTATTATGAATGATTTATCTTCTTGTCTACAACAACTGCCGTGACTGAAGTTTTTAATAAAAACATGGCCATCATACGTGTTACTAACCCAACACGCAAAAGTCTGTTTCCCATTTCTCTCTCCCCGCCTTGACGGACACACCTCCGCAACGCGACCCAACGCAACGCAACGCAGCGCAGCACTCAGATCAGCATACATGGACGTCTAATCGTAACGTATAGCCAGATAGCCAGGTCTTCTTATCCGTCAAATGATGAGCGGAAATAAGTGCGGTGCCGACTGGTGATGATAATGATGGAGGTATGGTGTATTTGCTTGATCTTATGTGTATATCTATATTGTATTTATTGATTGTACTGTACTCCGTAGGTAGGTATACTAAGGAGAAGTACTTACTCGTATCGTATCGTTTTACGTACCGGTGATGTCTCCGCTGCCCTTTCATACGGTTTGTGTGAGGGCGAATGAATGACGTGATGAAATGGGAGGATTTATTTGTCTGGGGTCATGTTGTATATGATATTGTTGCGTTGTTTTGTTTTGAGAAGGAAGATAGGGAGAGAGAGAGAGAGAGATGCATCAGGCTATGCTCGTACTCGTACTATAAGGTATACTAGATGGCATGCTTGATCCATAGAAACGAGACAAACAACGGAATCGATATTTGAGAAGTTCTTGATCTTTATATGTTCATCGAATATTGGTACAGCAAAGGCAAAACTAATAGCGAGTTGATACACCTACCGAACGCCATTTCCATATCATGCATGCATGCCCTAAACTCCTGTCTCCATATCCCCATCCTCCCCTTCCTCGCCCCCCAGCTTTTCACTTCTTCAACGGCGTAGGAGGTGGTCCCATCTTCCCAAACCCCGTATCAACCTTCTTATTCGGTGGCAACGCAGGTGGTCCCATACTTCCACTTCCACCCACCTGCGTGAACGTTCCACCTTTAAACCACCGGTCCTCCTCTGCCTTTCGCTTCCGACTCATCTCAGCCTGCATCTTCGGATCAACCAGTTCGAGACCTTGAACAGGCGTAAATGCTATCGAAGATGCTGTTCCCGATCCGGCACCAGCAGTTCCCACACCGCTGGCTCGCAGCCCCTTACCTCTCAAATCGATACCTGAGCCTGGACCCTGCCCAAAGCCGCGCAGAGACGATGCGGAGCCGCCAACAGGCGTTGCGCCTCCCCAGCCCTTATTTTTCGCGCTCAACTTCGCCTTGGTACGTTGATCGACTTGTAGATTTCGGATGCGGCCTTCGTTTGCTTGGCCGATCATGCCGAGCCCTTTCGTTCCGTCACCCATGCCGTAGCCGACTTCCTTTTCCTCCTTGCCAAAGATCATCCGGTTTTGTGCTTTGCGGAGATCCGTCATGGCAGTCGCTTCTTTGGCTTTACGTGCTCGCCGGCCTCCACGCTTTCGGGCGGGCTTGTCATCTGGTGCTGGGAGTGCTCGTTGGCCTTTGTTTGGTGGGGGTTCGGTAAGTTTTTCGAGACGCTCGAGACAAGCTGCTTTGAGCTCTTCGCCGTTAGATCCGTCGGGACTACTATGTACGCGGTCTACACGTGCTGCGAGGACTACTTTAGCGGACACGATACGCATAGCTTGTCGCTTCAAGTCGTTGGGAATTCCCCTGATAATAGGTGAGTGATAGAGGAAACCCTGTTGTCTAACTCCCACGTTGGTCGCAAATCCAGTTCCCGACTGCTTCTTCGATCCGAGAGGTGGTAGATTGCAAGCTGGGGTTTTGGCAAGACCCGTTAATCCTCCAGCAAAATTTAAAAGTTGAGCTGCAGTCAGAGATCCGATGAGTGCTGTGAGATTAGGTGCGAATAGATTCATGCGAGATTGAACGTAATCTGTCAACGTCTTTTTTGCTCGGTCGAGTGCTAATGTCATATCACAAGCACGCATAACTCTTTCAAGCTCAGCTGAAGACATTTCTCGTCCCTTGGTTGTCGTAGCTTCCACTGTAACAATCATCACCGAGGGTCCATCTAGAACGGATCTTAAAGTGGTGCCTAGCCTGTTGTCTTTGGAGTTTTGAAGAGCCTTGATGCTTTCTTGGTCCATAGGACCATTCCCAATGATAGTTACGACCTTGGCATAGTCCAAAGGATTGGTGACCAAAGTCTCTAGCTCAGGGAATCGAATGGAGTAATGATCCCGTATGTATTTATGAACGATCATGATCTCGGTGTCGATATTGGTGGATAAGGTATTCGATTGCGTCAAGAGGTGGTATTCGGGATTATCCTCGATGGAGCCTACGAATGTAGTTTGTTTGTCCGGGGGTAAAGATTGATAATGGGCGATTTTCTGTAGGTCGGAGGAAGTCAGGGCTAATACACAAAAAGGCAATGTAAACCATGATCTCTTCAAGGGATAGAAGGGGGGAATGAAAGTGATGCTTACCTCTAAGACCGGTTCCAATGTCTTCATTAATTTTGCGACACTTCTCACATCGTCAACACCTCCCAACTCCATCTTCTCCACCTTCGCCTTTGTTTCTTCCTCATCCTCCACATCCACACCAGAGTCGTTGATTCCTGTCATTTCCTCATCCTCTGGGACCTCTTCCTCATCTCCATCTAGCTCCATCCCATCCGTATTTGCGCTCGCGATCGCTGCCTTGTGGCCGTTGGAGGTTGCGCCATCGGCTTCAGGGAACATACCCTCATTCTGCTGCTCTTCGCCTCCTTCTGAACCCGAATCCTCAAAGTCCTGTAGGAGTTCATCTGCGAGAGTCGACATCTTTGCTTGTTGTTGTCTGAAGGCGCGTTGACAAGAAAGAGTGTCTTGGGACAAGGTTGTCAAGTTTATTTTGACTAGCGTGCAGCCTCATCTTTGGCGCGCTTTGACCTCAAAAATATTGCGAGGCTTGAACTCGTCAATCAGCCTCAAATATTCACCGCAAAACAGAAGCACATGGGCGTCTCAGGAACAACCTCTCGAACAAGCATTGTGAACATTGTCTGAGCTCTTTTATGTCCCAAAAGCTTCCGCGCTCCTCATTTCTCCTCACCTTCCAACAGCCTTTGCGTAAACCACCATCATGGAGGACTCTACTCGTGGACCCCCGAGGGTCAAGAACAAGGCGCCCAGCGCGATCCAGATCTCAGCTGAACAGCTTCTCCGAGAAGCTGTAGACCGACAGGAACCCGGATTACAGGCGCCAACTCAGCGATTTGCTGACCTCGAAGAGCTCCATGAGTTCCAAGGCAGGAAGCGCAAGGAGTTCGAGGCGTATGTGCAGAGGAACAGGGTTAATATGAACAATTGGATGAGATACGCACAATGGGAACTCGAGCAAAAGGAATATAAGCGCGCCAGATCGATCTTTGAGAGAGCTTTAGATGTTGATGCGACTTCTGTTACGCTATGGATTCGATATATTGAGGCGGAGATGAAGTCGAGGAATATCAATCATGCCCGGAATTTACTGGATCGTGCTGTTACTATCTTGCCCAGGGTTGACAAGTTGTGGTACAAGTACTGCTATATGGAGGAAATGCTGTCCAATATTCCAGGCACAAGACAAGTCTTCGAGCGATGGATGTCTTGGGAGCCAGATGAGGCAGCATGGAGCAGTTATATCAAGATGGAGAAGAGGTACGGCGAGTTTCAGAGGGCGAGGGAGATCTTTCAGAGATTTACCATGGTCCATCCAGAACCAAGAAATTGGATCAAATGGGCGAGGTTCGAAGAGGAGTTCGGAACTAGTGATCTTGTTAGAGAAGTTTTTGGGACTGCCGTTGAGGCGTTGGGAGATGATTTTATGGATGAGCGACTATTCATTGCTTACGCAAGATATGAGGCGAAACTAAAGGAGTACGAGCGCGCCAGAGCCATCTACAAATACGCCCTAGATCGTTTGGCACGATCAAAATCAATATCGCTTCATAAGGCGTATACGACTTTTGAGAAGCAGTTTGGCGATCGAGAAGGGGTTGAGGATGTCATTCTGTCTAAACGAAGGGTGCAATACGAGGAGCAAGTCAAAGAAAACCCCAAGAATTATGATACTTGGTTTGATTATGCTAGATTGGAGGAGGTGTCGGGAGATGTGGACCGAGTTCGGGACGTTTACGAGAGAGCAATTGCTCAAATTCCACCAACGCAAGAAAAGCGACATTGGAGACGTTACATCTACTTGTGGATCTTCTATGCGATTTGGGAAGAAATAGACACCAAGGATGTCGAGCGGGCAAGACAAATCTACCAGGAGTGTCTGAAGCTGATACCCCACAAGAAGTTCACATTTGCCAAAATCTGGCTTATGAAAGCACAGTTTGAGATCCGGCAGCAACAGCTATTAGCAGCAAGAAAAACCCTCGGACAAGCAATTGGGATGTGTCCCAAAGACAAGCTCTTCAAAGGCTATATTGATTTAGAGCTGAAGCTTTTTGAATTCGTACGATGCAGAACTTTGTACGAGAAGCACATTGAATGGAACTCGGCAAACTGCCAAGCCTGGATCAAATTCGCCGAACTAGAACGAGGCCTCGACGACCTCGAGCGTACCCGCGCTATCTTCGAACTCGCCATCTCCCAAAACGTGCTCGATATGCCCGAGCTATTATGGAAAGCGTACATCGATTTCGAGGAGGAAGAAGGCGAGTACCAGCGCACGCGGCAATTGTACGAGAGGCTTCTGGACAAGACCGATCACGTCAAGGTCTGGATTAGCTATGCTCACTTTGAGATTAACGTGCCGGAAGAGGAGGAAGAGGAGGCGGAGGACGAGGATGAGGATGAGGAGAAGCCTGTTAGCGAGATGGCCAAGGCTCGCGCGCGGAAGGTCTTTGAGCGTGCTCTCACTAGCATGAAGGATAAGGAGCTCAAGGAAGAGGTAAGCCACTCCCTCGACTCATCTTTCCTACTCGGTACTAACAACCGCACAGCGCGTCACCCTCCTCAACGCCTGGCTCTCATTCGAGCGCACGCACGGCTCCGAAGAAGACATCGACAAAGTGCAGAAGCAGATGCCGCGGAAGACCAAGCGCCGCCGCAAGATGGACGACGATACTTACGAGGAGTATGTCGACTATGTGTTCCCTGCCGACGATCAACAGACCGCAAAGCTGTCCAATTTCTTGGCTATGGCTCAGTCATGGAAACAGGCTGGTGGGACCATCACTGGGAATGGTACGAATGGCGATTCGTAGATTGGTGGACTGTCTTGATTTTTGTAGAAATAGCACCCAAAATTTGCCCGCTCAAGGATTATGCAAAATGCAATAAATCTTTTGATTGTAATGAGGTGGTATATGACATGCTTGAAAATAACGCTCATGATGACAGTACCGCGATACTATGCTTCTAAAATGGTAACTTTCCAACGCCTATCAATGATACAAGTCGCTGTACTAACGCCACAATGACCAATGCAATCATACTTTCCCCCTTTCAACCAATGTACACCGGCATTCTACTTCCCTTCAGATCAGACGGAACCATTTTGATATCCGATTTATCGAAATCATGCAACAAGAGCCAACACAGCATGCGGAATATCAACGATATCCAGACCGTGTTCCTCTGCGCCTTTTCCTCTCTCGTCAATGATGAACTATTAGACTCTAGGTTCCCTATCACCGCAGGTCGGATCTCGTCGAAATAGTAGCTTAGCAGTGTATCTTCTTTATTCGCCAGCACGATGTTGTTCAGTGGTGAATTCTGGTCATCCAGTATCTTCATGACTTTCGTAAGATGCGCCACCAGCACGCTGAGAACATCTATTTGCTTCAGAGAGAGCAAATACGTCGTCCTATTATCCAACGCATTATGAATAGCCTCACGTGCTTCAATGCTCAAGGTCGCTTCATCTTCGCAGCCAATTATGGCGATTTCGTCCCATTGGCGCGAAATGACGGTGCATTGGTGATTTTCGTCGAAGCCTTCGGTAATGATGAGCTTCTTGAGCTTTTCTTGGAAGACTTTCATGAGGGTTGATGTTTTCCAGGAGGCTTTTTGGCCGCTTGTCTTGAGCCAGAAGTCCATCGTAGGGTTGGGGAGCATGCGGAAGTTGCTGCCGCGGATACGGAAGACTTTTCCTAGCATGCCGATTATTTCGAAGGATACTAGTTGTTGTTAGACGGTGGGACACAAAGTGAGTTGGGGGATGGAGCTTACCGGAGAAGATATGTTTGTGGTCCTTTGCAAACCGCGTGACTGTTTCCGAGGTACACCCAAGAGATTCCAAGGTTGCTGTGACATTCTTCTCTTCACCAAAAACCAATTCAAGACTCTGGGCGTCCTTTTCTCGCTTTAAGTACTCTCCTTCCTCGAAAATATTAGGTACAGTTCCAAATGCCAATTCCTTCACTGCTTCGGCAGGAATTACTCGATTTCCCTCGAAATTTGACCTTCCAGTAATGGCAAAGACGACCATTACACCAAGGCCGTGAACGGTTGTGGACGTCAGAATAAACCCGTTTCCTTCTGCTCTAAGATTCCAGAGAATCTGATCAAAAACCTTCCAGTATAGTCCTAACATTGCCATCATCTCCACTAGATGGCATATCGCTGAAGTAGCGTACGGTTTGGTGATCGCATCGGGAATGAAGTCCCAAGATCGTGTCTTGCTCTGTAACCCGACTGCAATCTGGTAGTAAGGTTCCTTGAACGCTGTACCCCTTTGTTTTCTATCCCAAATACGAGAATCAAGTTCGGCACCTTGTTGGGTCGAGAGGAGAGTAAGCCATGAGGCTCGTTCATCATCTGCGGTGTGAACCTGTCTCACTGCTTGTTGGTCTGCTTGGTTTTGTTGCAGAGGCTTCAGAACTTTGGTGTTCGTGTAGGAGTTATCACTACCATCGACATAATAGATTTTCCGCCCAGGAATGGGCCCTTTTTGGTTGTCTGGAGGGGCTACAAATATGACCGGTGTTTCGAAGATTACTTCAAATCTAAACTCTCTAGGCACGAGCTTTCGATGCGTTCCTTTGGCCCACTGCCCCATTACTGAATTCGCACATCTTCGATATCCTTCGGCACTTGAAAAGTATTGCTGGAGGACTTGGATGACGGTGGTTAGGAGAGCGACGAGCGACACGATCAATGCAACGAGTCCAAAGACATTCTGGTTTACGTCGTTAAAACCCATGGCGAGGCTGGAGGAATGGAGAGGGGTGTCGCAGATTGATTCTGGCCACTGGAGGCTGTCAACTCTCAAGATATGCAATTGAGGAGTTCATGCTCCGGAATCTAGCTGGACAGAGAGAGAATGAAAGAATTTGGAAGAACGTGGACATTTTGTCTGTCCAGCGGTTTTCGAAAATGCAGCCAGCCTTCAGCCCCCAATAGATGGCCATGGCTCAGCCCTGCTAGTGCACAGGGGTAATTACGGAGAGCGCAGCTTCAGCCACCTCGAATTGGTAGGTTTCGTTTCACCAAGAACACAGACTGGGCACGCAACAGCGCAAACCATCGTGCTTCGTACCTGAGTCTGTAGTTATCATGCCAATAAGACACATCGACTGTGACATTAGGAAGAGTCTTGAGGTTGAAGTTCATCAGAGGACGCCGACGCCGAACGAGGCTCCGCTCCGTACCGAGGACCTTCTAAATTACCTACGGGAGGGGATAAGTACCAAGATCAGTAGATAGGTAGGTACTTACTCAAGGGGTTAAGTAGCCAACATCCAAAGTTCCCATTGCTCATCCGATCCGGAAATGCTCGAGTGCTGTATTGTCAAAATTTCCTCCTCTTATCTTCTGAGTACTTTGTCAAGAAAGGGCGATACAAGGCCTTGCCTACGTGTTAGTTTCAAGAAGTACTTAGGTACCTAGTGCCTTTGTATACTCAGACTCTTTCCTCAAGCCTCGTGCTTTGTTATTGTGACCCCGAGTCTCAGCCGTAGGATGGAGGGGAGGGCCCGAGGCGCAGCCATACTTCGTACCCTCACATTAGCCACACGTCCCCTGATCCATGAGACAAGCCTTTTAGCTGCCGCAAAGGCTCACCTGTCACAGGCTGTCAGTGGCAATACCGGTGTTGGATGGCGTGGTCAGGCTCACATCGCCGAGTAGCCAGCGCCTAAGCAAGAGATACCCAATGACGGACATGGGCAACATTTGATAGGAGCTGGGCTGGGTCTGTTTCGTTGCGTGCAGTGCAGTGCAGTCATTCCCATGTCCCAGCCCATGGATCTGATGGATGCGCGAAAAGCGATTCGGTATGCCATTGATTTCGTAAATACTGGAGTACGAAGAAAACACGATGGATGATAGGTCTTAGGCCTTTCACTTTTCAGCTAGAAGAACTAGGCACAGACAGATCAATTCAAGAGCCAACATCAGTTGAGGAATTGTGGATTCGGCGTGCATGAATGACATTGCTGCTGGCCTGGTCTTTGAAGTTTGCCCCTTCGTGCCTTGTCGGCCGTCTGTGGCTCTGCCTAGAAACCTAGAAATCCCAGCCTCCCTCCCTCGCCTGCCCTCCCTCCCCTCCACGCCCCTCACCGCAACCAAAACCCCTCATTCACACAACTGTCCCTCACCCTCGTCATCAGATCCACGCCATCAAGTTCCATTTCTTCAACGACATTTGCAACACTTTATGATCACGAATCCATCAGAACGAGCATCACGATTAACGACTTGGATTAATTATCTCTTCACGATCCTCGCCATTCTCATCAAAAACCAAGATCAAATCTCGAAGCCAGCGCTTCATAATTGACTGGAGCGCAAAGCAAGGCTCTCAACATGTCCACCATCGACCCGTACGACAGAATCGACGACCGACGACATCGATCCCACCGACACAGTCGAGATGACCGCGAACCCAGATACGTCGAGACTGAAGAAACATATGTCAGAGGCGCTCCAGCGGTACCAGAAGCCCCCTACGCCGCTGTCCGTCACACTGAATTAGTCCGTCGGCCTCATCGCGAAGATAGCGATCTATCAATCGAAGAAGTCCGACGTGACTTCCCACCGCCAGGCTCTCGTTCTATAGCACGCGATGACCGGTACGGCCCGCCAGTCCGCTCTCGCTCTGCCGAGCGTGGCTACGGAGACTACCTCGACGACCCACGACGCTCATACCACGACGATGACCGACGAAGCCGCAAGAGTCAATTATATGCCGATCAAGAAGTGGTGAAGCCTCGTCGCCGCTCGCTTTCCCGAAACCAAAAGATCATAGCCGGAGTTGGTGGAGCAGCTCTTGCGCTTGCTGGCAAAGAACTTTGGGACCGAAAACAATCAGACGGCCGCCCCGTCTCCCGAAACCCACTCCAGTCAGCCGCCGTCGGTGCAGCGGGTGCCTTTGCAGCTTATGAAGGAGCAGAAATGTATTCGAAGCATGGTGGAAAGGAGAAGATCAAGACATACATTGCTCACAAAGATCGAGACGGCGATGTCGAGGAATATTACTCCTCCGAGGAAGAAAAGCCAAAAACCAAGAGTCGCCGCAAGTCTATTGTCGAAGGCGCTCTTGGCCTTGCAGGTCTAGGTGCAGCTGCCAAAGCTGCAGGAGGAAGCGGTCGTAGCCGACGTGGAAGCGGTGACAGTCACCGCTCTACAAGAAGCCGATCCCGTGCTGGCGGACGTGGCAAATCTCCCGAAGGTGCTGCCAAATTCCAACAAGCTGCTAAGGCTGCTCTCTTAGCTGGAGCTACAGAGGCTTTCCGGGTACGAAACGAACCAGGAGGTTGGGGTGGGGCTAAGGGCAAGCGTATTCTTACTGCTGCCATCGGAGCTGGTAGTATCGATGCTGCTGCAGACCGTAACCCGGGTCAACATGGCAAACGTCACATCCTCGAGGCTGTGGTAGGAGGCCTTGCTGGTAACCGCCTGATCAACGGCTCGAGAAAGGACGTGGAAGACGACGACGGGCGCTCGAGTAGGGGTGGGAGATCCCGCTCAAGAGCCCGCTCAAGGTCCAAGGGACCAGGTGGAAGCGGTTCCGGTGCAGGTCTCGCTGCTCTCGCAACGGCCGGTATAGGAGCACTAGCTGGAAAGAAACTTTTGGACCGCTCGAGATCCCAATCCCGCGCTGGCGATCATAGATCTCGATCCAGAGGCGGTGGACGACGCAGAGGCAGCCCAGATTCGTATGATAGCCGCAGCCCGTCCCCAAAAGCTGGGAAAGACCGTCACAAGAGAAGCAAGAGTGTCACGGATTACGCTAGAAAAGGTCTTGCCGCTATTGGACTCGGAGAAGCAGCGAGCGAGTCCGGTGGTCGCGACAGAGATGTGGAGTATGAGGAAACTCGAGTTCATAAATCATCTCGACGACGACGTGATAGATCAGAAGATGACGGCTACGAACCAAGAAGTTCTCGTGGCTCCCGCGACGATGGGTACAGTCAAAGAGGCTCTGGCGGTGTATACGATGACCCACGCTATGCAGACTCTCGCTCAAGCAACCTTGGCTCGACACGAGATGGTGGCGGCGGCCGCAGGTCTGGAGCGCAGAAAAAACAGGGTAGAAAAGATAGGCGAGTCGCTGAAGGAAAGCAAGACGAGTCGGATTCAGATAGTCTAGGATCCTCGTCGGAAGATGAGAAAAGGGTTAAGAAGATGAAAGGTAAGCAACTTCTTACGGCTGGTTTGGCCACTGTTGCAACTATCCATGCTGCACACAACATCTATCAGAGTATAGAGAAGCGCGATGCGCGGCACCGAGCAGTTCAGGAGGGCGAGATGACACCTGAGGAGGCACGGAAGCTCAAGGCCAAGGCAACGCTCCAAGATGCAGCATCTGTCGGTATTGCGGCCCTCGGTATCAAGGGCGCCATCTCAGAGATCAAGGAAGCCAATGAGATGCGCCACGAATGCAAAGAGCTCAACGATAAGAAAGCGGAGCGTCACCAGAAGCGACTTGAACGACGAAAGAAGTTGGCCAGTAGCACCAGTGGAAGCAGACGCGGCGATGACTACAGACGCGATGATGACTACTACGATCAAGTTCCAAGTGGTCGTCGTATTGAGTCTGGAGGGCCTCGCTACACTGATGGCAACCCCTACTCAACAGGTCTACCTGCTCCTCCTGTTGGCTATGATAGGAGATAGCATATCTTCATCGTGTATGCCAGCCTTCCCACGTTGCCGTTAGCGCATCGTTTTCTTCACATTGTCACATATATAACGCCATTACGAAGTTCATGAACACACGAAAAAGACTTGATGGTGGACGCTGAGATAATACGCCTTCCTCTGCTCTGATAGATGATTGTTGATACTACATTTTTCTTTCCTATTCTCTTCTCCATATAGAATACAAACCTCCTTACATAAGGAAGAATTATAACTGATATTTTACCCATTGCGAACAGCTCCCCGCTATTAAGCGCAAGAATACCCATACCCATACCAATCATGCAAGTGACCTGCTCTCAACGCAAGCTTGTATCCGCAAACGGGTAGTACAACGGAAGGAAGTGTGTACGGAACCCACGAACGCAGGGGGGCCTTAGGAATGGATACATTAGTTGTTTCTTTATCACGATATCGGGAATGGACGGAAACGGATGGAGCTACGAATTTCCTACTTTTTCATTCGTTGGTCAGAGAATTTACACGCTTTTTTTCATACATCTTGCTATAGTAGGTTAGGAAATTATGAGACTCATGAAACGAAACCCATCAATCTGCAAATGGCGGTCAATCCAGCCCTGTCCAGTCCAGTCCAGTCCAGTCCAGCCCACCAAACAATCCGCTCTTAGTGGCTGTTCTAGTAACGTGGCTAACTATAACTTGACTGACTGCGGGAGGGGAAAGGGGCGATCCTTGAGTGCCTATATGGTACACGGATGCTTTGTCCACACGCTTACTTTGGGTTTTTTGATCTCGGCTCGGGAGGCAGGCGGGTGTTGATGCGTTGGTGGCGTTGGTGGCGTGGGTGTAAGCTTTTGCTTTACTATGAGGAAAATACCCCGTCGGCCAAAGATTTGCATCTGATTCGAGAGGCTTGACATTGATGTATCCCATGGTATGCACGATGGCGTCATGTCGCTGTTGAGATTCGTTTCCCTTGCACAATATGTGTCTTATCGGGATGTACAAGAAGACGTGGACGTGTGAGTTGAGGTTACTGTTGCTGTTACTGCTACTGTTGCTATAGGTGTACTGTACGAGTAAATCGAGACCTTTGTAATGTGAGTATGGCCGAGACTTCCGATATCTATGACAGGGGGTATCGCATTGAACCGAATCGAATCGAACCGGATTGGGAAGGGGAGGGAGGGGTGATGGATGGGATGAAATAGAGGGGCTTGCAGGAAGTGAATGTGATGTGCAGTGCGACTTGAGGTGAAATCCGAAGCCGATCCACTTGTCTTGTCCGCCAACTCAACTCACTTCACTCCTTACACCTTAATACTATCCTTCCCTATAATTTGCGTAGATACATGCATCCTTCCCTGGGGGCACCTAACACACGCAGGCTTACTATTCGACGTACAATATACCATCATCTCAAGGTAGGCATAGGTAGCTTCATACCGATAGCTAAGCAAAGAGATGCATCAGCTCTAGCCAGGTCTTGTCCCCGAGCCAGAGCATAGTTCGATTAATCAATCAGTGCAGAAAGTGCGCTCCGAAGTATATTTTTCGCCATTTGCCTTGCTCTGCCGCGATCTTTGTGTGTATTTCCTACCTATATTTATAGAGAGTTAGTAAAGTGAAGTAAAGTAAAGTGAAATAAAATGAATTTAGCTTGACTTAACCTTACCTTACCGTACCGTACCGTCGTATGCTAAGAATAAAAAATGGGTCAGAGAAGGCAAAGGATTACTTACCTACTTAATTATGTCTTGGCCTTTCTGAACTGTATGTGTAGCAACTATTCTTCCTAGATTAACACTCCCATTATAACCCCCCAACTTTTCTACATGTGCTACAAGCGCAAAGTTGGTACGGGACCGGAGTATTGGATTAAAGCGAGAACTCTACGCCGCCATATCAATAGCTTCCATCAAGAGTCTTGTTTATTCCCGCCTATCGGCTGGAAGTATTTTTTTGTTTATACAGAACTACTCACATATCATCTTGTGTGTATGGTAATTACCTAGGTATTGTTTATGGTAGTGAGAAAAGTTTAGTACATGAAAAGAAGGATACAGTACAGTACAGTACTTAGGCAGAGCAGAAATGCTTGGCTCTGTGCGTCATAATCTGGGGATTTAGCGCCGGAGGTTTCGAGCTCGAAAAGGCCGACATACATCAATGCTTAAATTTATATCGCGCCATATTCTCGCACATCTACAAAGACATTATGAGTAGTTTTGGCAGTCCTGGTGGAAGGCAGATCAATTCGAAGCCTACTCCGTAAGTTGTTTGTCCATGTGCTGGTAAAAGGGGGTGGTGCTAATTGGGAATGCAGGCCGGAGCGTGGAAGCTTCCCTCTTGATCATGATGGTACGATGCCGAACCCTTGAAGCCATCAAGCTACGCTGCGCTACGCTGCGAAGGAGCTATTGCTGATTGGTGCGTACGATGTGTAGGGGAGTGCAAAGATGTCATGATGAACTACCTCTCGTGTATCAAGAAGGTCAAGGGAACGAATGAGGCGCAATGCAGGAATATCGCGAAGACTTATCTGTCGTGTCGGATGGACAGGTATGCTATAGCTACGGGATGCTTAGGAACAGAAGCTAAATGTGGAACACAGGAATTTGATGGCTAAGGACGAGTTCAAGAACCTTGGGTTCGGCGAAGAAAAGCCTGCGAGCGCCGCGAAGAAAGATGAAGGGGCGGGAGATGGGAAGAAGAATGAGCTGAGATGGTAACGCGAGGGTGTAGGAGGTCAGCATGCAAAACGAGAGTACTGGCGTTATGGGATTGATGGTTTGGGAGCCATACTGAGAGTGAAACGGGATATGCGAAATACTCTACACCAAATTCAAACCATCATTCCTTCTCCTGTGATGCTTTCGCACCATTCTGGGCAAAAGGATTTTGTTTTGCGCCTGGCTATTCTATACTTCACTTCGGTTTGTCTCATCTGATAACGGTTTGGGGAAACTCGTCGTCGCAGTCGGTTGGATTATGAGTAGTGACCAATGTTGCCGAGCCCGGGATCGTGGGCCTGGACTTCTGAAAGAGGTGGTTTTGAGAAGAACTACCCCATATTTTTGAGGGCCAGAGCAATGGGGTAATCAATGGGGTAGAAGACTGCAAATCTTGGGGGGTCGCTTTCCCTTGGAAAGGTTTAAGGTAGACATCTACTCCTTATCTCGCAGCCTCTCAGCATCTCAATGCACCTCTACTAATATGGCAGCGCCACAAAAGCCAACAGCCCCAATTAAAATGTAGGACAAACCAGCTGGGTTCTTTGATGAAAAGAAACATGCAGCGAAGCATGTACGGGGACTGGGGAAGTAAAGGTATGCGGGTGAAAATGATACTGTAGGCCCCGAAGACTGCAAGACAAGAAGCCCAAGGTATAGTTCATCTTGTCCATATAACATCTCTTGCTTATTGCCTGACTAGTTCCTCCTGTTGAGATAGATTCTGGTAATAGCCCCAGGTCATACACCGAATGGTCGGCGTTGACTAAGTCATGAGATGAACTTTGTGATGTCCACCTTTCAACCTATAATTACTGAAGAACATGCTTCAGAATCTGCTGCGCAATTTGAGAGCGCTAATAGCAGCCATTATCATTGATATGCCGCAAACTTCCTCATATCCTGTGCGACAATCTCTTCTGGTGGCACTGAAACATCTTATGATCTCGACTCGTAGTTTCGGCACCAATTTGTATCTAACGAATTGTCAACGCATCCTGATTTAGGAGAAGGGATTGTAAAGCCTCATAACCTCTTATCGGTAGGTCTCTTAAGCCCGGGAAAGCCGCAAACAAGATGGAACGAAGCAACTCTTCGCAACATCAGTAGACTCCGATGAGACCGTCAAATAATTTCTTGGACGACCCGGAAAAGTTGCTGCCCGGAAATCTCAGAACATACGCAATCAGCAGCAAGCAACTGCTGCAAAGGTACTACTTGAGCGATTTTGGTGTCTTATACCCCCAACAGAAGCCATGCACTGGTCCAACTCTGAGACACCTGGCGCAGACAGAAGCCCCCAGATAGTAGCAGTGTAAAAGAAATTCAAACCTCCAAGGCAATAAATTGGATAACTTTAACAACTTGGTATTAATTGCTACCTTTTCTTGACACTACAATAGAATATACTTACTCCTTGCCGACCAATATAAAGGGTGACGCACGGGCCATGATGGCACAAGAACAAGAGCTAGCGCCCCTCGCTTTGAGGTCTCTCCCTAGTAAACAGCCCAAAAGATCTCCTCCTCTTCCATCCGAAGGCCGTCTGGGAAATGCAGAAGAGCAGAGACAAAAGATGGTATTTGCAACTCTGGGCAATTATGCAGGGCTCAAGGCCATTGGGCTCGTCATCAGATCCAAAGATGGCCCAAGATTCGTCTTTCATTACCCTGCGCACCCCTCCAACAAAGCAGCCGAGCGCGAGCTGCGATTTGGCACAGAACTAGACCCCGAACCTGTTGAGGACGACGACCTTTCCAATGACAGCGATGAGTCTGACCTCGAGGAGAGCGATTACTCCGCCTTGCCAGCATTGAGCACGCTCAACATCACAGAAAAGGTGGGGTCCCAGAAAAGGAAGTTGGATCACGAGGACCAGCCAAAGGGCGACGATCACTTCGACAATGAAGACGGAGAGCATGTAGTCCCATGGGAACACGTATTCGAGTTTCCTACCACCGATCTAGAGAGTATCTTAACTCCTTCAAGGGCCTTCCACAAGAAGAAATTTGAACTCTCTCTGGATCCTCTACGCTTCGTTACGTATCCAATGCACATTCGCGAAGATGGAACATGGAAGAAGAAGAAAAAGATCAGGAAATCTAAGAAGTCTAAGAAAGAGGGCAGTGGTGATCCGGAAGGCTCAGAAGAAAAGTCTGATGAAGCGAAGAAGCCAAGTGATGATAGCTCTGAAGACGGCGATGATACTGGTGGCATGACGATGTTCAATGTGGTTTTCATACTCAATCTTCCGAAGGAGGAGCAAGACCAAAGGATCCATGAGATCTACGAGCACATTATCAAAAAGTTCAACAAGGCCATGAATCATGCACAAGCCTCTAGCAATTTTGTGTGGAAAGAGTCCGAGATGATCCTGACTATGAAGGAAAAGGCCCGCGAAGAGCGTACGTTCCCTAGAGTTCTCTCTTTAGAAGCTGCTAACCTGGCTATAGGTCGTCCTATGAGTTGGGTATGGAATGAAATTTTACTTCAATCTACCTTGGCTGCTGCCATCCGGGATGTCTTCCTTGCCATCTCGAACAATAAGATCGCTATCCTTCGTCTAGCCACAAGTCCACCCCTAGAATTGTCCCTCCAAATCCCCGTCCCTCCTTATCTTACCAGCTTGCCTAATCCAGATGAAAGGGCAATGCTTGGCCTACTCCTGACTTCCGCCAATCCTATAATCGATGAGGAAGGAAATGAAGACCCGACACATTTGAACAAGCACTTTGCTCTCCTCCTTCTTGATGACGAGACTAAAATCATCTCCGAAATCCAAGCTGACAATACTGAGCTTTCTGCTCCTCTAATCGAGTGTATTCGACTCTGCAAGCCAACCCTATCCTTCCTCCAAGTTGCTCAAACCAACTCCATAGAAGTCAACAGCTTACTCATCTTGGCCCAACATCTTATTTACTGGCGCAAAGCCATTGCGATCCCTCCCCTCCACGCTCGCGAAACGTACATCGTCTCCCCCAACTGCGATAGCCGCAAACTACCAGAAGCCAGCGTAGCATGGCGAAAAGCTTTCCCACTCGCTCCCTCCCTCCCCAGTTTCCTAGCCACTCTGTCTGCAGCTCCACGGCCATATAAGACATTCCCACCCAGCAAAGACCACCGGCAAACCTACATCGACATGCTCGCCTGGGCCATCCGCGGCGGCTGGGCATCACAGCTCCGAACCGTAGCCTGGATCTGCGTCTGGCCTGAAATCCTCTACGAAGTACAATATCAGCTCCAAGCCGAAGCCCTTGAAAAGGCAAAGCACAAGAGCCAGGCATCAAGCCAGTCTGCCGAATCGACCGATGAGTCTGGTAATGATAAGAAGCCTGTTGATCCGAATGCGCCCATGACGACTGAGCAGGCTGCTGAACAGGCACGCTTGTATCGCCTGGCGAAAAAGGCGGATGAGGATGCGAAGGAGTTTGCCGCTGAGTTCGCGAAGATGCCAACGCCGATTGCTACGAGTCATCCTTCTAATAACCGTGCTGCGCATTTGAAGACTATGGCGCCGTATATCATCAAGGATCCGCATAAAGTCAGCCATGAAGAGTCGCTCTACATTGCTGCGCTCGGGAAGCGTTGGACGGATCCGAAGGTTAGGGAGTGCTGGTTTAGGTTTTCGGGCAAGTATTTTAATGGGAGGGAAGCGCTTGAGATGATTGCATTGCAAGAGGGTATGAAGCGGAAGGAGACGTGGAGTATTCTTATGCACTATCAGGAGAATATTCTGGTATGTAAACATTGGTGATTTATTGTTGGATGATGTGTGTGGATTGGGATTATTTTGTCTAAGGGCTCCACGTGTATTTGTCCCTTGGGTTAGATGACGAAAGATAGCATTGGCGTTTGTTAGATACCCAGGAACTAAAAAGTATTTTGTATTGACCAAATGATTTTTTATAAAGATTATCATAGCAAACCGTGAATCGTTCCCTTCTATCGAGTAGAGTAAATGTTGCCATGTCACAATCACGTCAAGCAACAATGGGACTTGCATGCAAAAAACATCTATCTATCTAGGAACCGGTTCCCTTCTCTTCTCATCAGCGCCCACGCGTCGAAAGCCCTTTTACTCCGAGACAGTTCAATAGACTGACTACTCTTTTCTACCTCAATCCGAAACTCAACTCCCACAAACCAGTCTCCCAATTCAAATTTTCAAATGAAACATTACATTGCATTGCATATCATCGCAGCACCGTGTCCTAGCATCAGTCAATACAATACATACCCCATCGTCATCACCAACCGCCCAGATCCGACAGATCCAAAAAGGCAAGTGCCACTCACTCAGCTCAACTCAATGAATACGCCAATGAGCAGCTCAGCTTCGCTTCACGCGTATGCCGAGGTAATGCAGTGCGACCCGGCCTATCAATCGAGATACTAGGTAGGTATATTGATATTGATGCTCAAAGTAACTACCGCTATCGATCGATACCGGTAACTGTTCCGGGCGATAAGGGCTTGAATGAGTGCGACGACTAAATAGCATAGGTACCTACCTAGGTAGAGAAGTATCTATCGACTGACTCTGGTGTAGGTAATCAAAACACATGTCCCACGCTCACCTCACACGAAACGTTGGACCAATACTCCGAGGCCTGTTCTAGAAGCTTTTATTTCCGGAATCTGGATTTCGGGGAATTGTGACTGACGCTTGGGTAGGTACCCAAGAATCGGAATTAGTATTACAGAAGACAGAACGGTACGATGAGCTGTCATGGAGCATTTTCGGACTGTCACAGTTAACGTCTGTGTTTGCAAAGTCAAGAGCGCCGAGGTAAAAGTAGAGTAGGGTATTCAACTGATATATTTCAAATCCAGCAAATCCAGCTAAATGGAATGCTAGCTAGGCGGGGTTATCCTAAACCCCCCAGTATTCAAGGAAAACAAAGCAAACGCAGCGGTAGGTATCATAAAGGGGTTCCAACAAAACAATCCAACAAATGCAAGCCAAGCGAGAGCAACCGAAACAGGGGGAATTAAGAACAATGAGGTGGCGAGGCACCAGAAATATGAATGCGAGAAGTGAATGATGATGATGTGCAATCCCAAAAGCCGCAACCCAATCCCGTGCTAGACTAAATTCATGCCGAGCTGGGGGCAAAAAAAAAAGAGATCAAAATTACAGCACTGAAACGCCTATCCATCCCCAATGGCAAAGCCCCCAAACTACCTTCAAATGCAGAGAACCCCGTGCGAGTCCAAATCAATACAAAAAAACCAGGTCAAGATAAAATGAGGACAAAAAGAAAACCCGTCCTCCACGTGATATGTCCGCGGACTAGTAGGCAGTGCAAGGTATGACTACGAAGTGAGGTCCATTCCATATTCGTCTTCCTCTTTGAAACTGATTGATCCGGCTCCACTGCCTCCGCTGTTATGTCCGCTCCAGAATTGGCCGGGTCCGCCCATACCAGGCTGGTTGTCACCACCTGTGCTGTGGTTTTCTGGGCTAAGCGAAGTATCATTTTGGCCTAAAGAACTACCAACAGGGTCACCCTTGACGTCGGTATGCTTTGGAACTCGAAGACCGGTACCCGGTGCACGGGAATAGTGAAACTTTCCTCCGTCGTTCTTGATCATCGCATCCATCAGCTCGGTTTGCATACGTCTTTCATCTTCGGTCTCCTCGAACGGGAACGTGCCGCCCAACTCAGTAATGATATTGGCGAGGTCTTCTTGCTGTTGAAGCTTGGTGTGAAGCATCCACATGAGATCGCGAGTCCAGCTCACTGCACCATTGAGGATGTCGCCTTTGTTTGGACCCTTGTCTTTCTCTTCAATCGGAATTCCCGTAGTGATATTACCTGCGGTAGCCCTTCGTGCGCCAGGTCCAGCAAGACCTGACGTTGCTTGAGGAGGGCTCATACCAGAAGGGGGCTGAGACAGACCAGCAAGGGTGGGTGACAATGGCCCGTTGTTTTGCAGAGCCTTCCGTACTTTCTCATCCTCGAGGCGATGGAGAGGAACAAGATGACTTAATTCTTGAATTCGCTCATTGATATTGTCTCGCCTCCGGCGCTCGACCAGGTTGTGGGACTCTCGTCTCCTCCTCCTCTTCATTTCTTGGGATTGTAAAGCAGGAGCATTGCCAGCCTGATGCCCGTTGTTCAACTTGGCCGGCATCGATGTGCCCTTGAGAAGAATATCAGAAATTTGTGGGTTAGGATGAACACCTTGAGTTGGCGAAGAAAATTCAGAGCCTGGGAAGGAGGTAAGACTACTGGGTGTCTGATCCCATTGGCCAGATAATGTTTTCTGGTGTCGATGTTGTGACGTCCGAATGGGAGTTGGAAATGTGCCGTTTTCGGCCGAACCAATATTCAGAGAAGAGATAGCAGGGGTCTTGGGAGTCAATGGGCTTCTAGCACTAGAGCTCTTCCTTTGCATCACTTGGGACAACCGGGGTCTTTGTCTCGCGGCGTCCGCCGATCCATTGTGCATGTCTGATCCAGGAAGAGGTGAGCCGTTGTAGGAGACAGGCGAGTGGAGTGAGTTGCTGAAGTTGTTTTGCGGCTGCATGTGCCTAAATTGGGCATGATTGAAGTTATGCACAAAAGGGCTTTGGATGGGATCGCCGTCTGGAGTATTGGAGTAGCCATTTATGTGGTTAGGATCGATCGATAAGGCAGCATTACCATTTTGACCCGAGTATATGTTTTGTTGAAAATCGTTCCCGTAGTCCATGCCAAATTCTTGGCGGTTGGCCTGCATACCCTGGTTGGAATGCGATTCGTTCATTGTCCCAATACTCTCGAGTAATTCGTCATCCTCGAACATAGCTCCCTTGGAGAAGCTTGCATTTGCATGAGGTGCAGGCGCTTGAGATGTGAAATTGTTTTGAAACGGGGATCCGTATCCATTTGGGATGGCAACCCCGTTACTCGCCATAGTGAGATCGCTAGGGTTGATGCTCCCACTCTGGCCACCGAAGTGGTTGTAGTTTTGTTGGAAGCCTTGCTGATTCCCCCCCATAAATCTTTGGTTGTGGGATGCGAAGAACTGGTCTTCAGGCTCGTCTTTGATGAATGGGCTGGAGGCACCCGTGCCAGCCATTTTGGGTTCACTGACTGACCAGTTGCTTAGAATTATGTCGCCGAGGTAGCCCCTGGGTTTGTTCTATAGCTCTTTATAAAATCGATTGCCGATAACGATATCTATGTGTGACCCCAAAAAATTAGCAGCTGTTATTGCCAGAAGAAAAAAGCAAGCATAAGAATTCGAGGTGTTATTGGTACGAAGTAGCAAACTATGTGACTTGAGGTCGCAGGAGAGGCTGCTTCCGTGCGCTGAAAAGCCCGCAGCCGGCCCAATGTTCGTTGCTGGATATAAAATGTAAATTGATGTCATAAAAGTTTGGACTTACAGCGGCGAAATTGTCGCAGAAATCGGACACGCAGATTATACCGTCTCCTCGTCGTGAAATGCGATTGCAGTAGCAGACGTGGATAATTTAGAGACGGTCTGTAGATTCTTATGCCACGGCTGTCTTGCAGTATTGGCGTACAAAGCGATTGCCTGTGGAAGTTTTCAGTTGCCGCTTCTGAGCACAGTGTGGTCGCGGCGACGGGACAGTGCGGAATATGATAATCGATTGTTGCGAGACGTGATATTGGTTATATGCCAGAAAAGCAAGGCGAGAGTGGTCTCGGAGATAAATATACACCCAAACAACCGCTGCTGAAGAATATCCACGATGCGTTGCTTTACTGCAGCCTCGAACAGGCGGTCGGAGAGGTAACGGTGAAGGATTGTTGGCGGGTTGGTTCGGCTTGCACTTGCGGGACGGTTGTACAGCGATGTAAGGGTAAATGGCGGAATCGTGAAGTGTGGAGAAAATCGAGGGCGGAGGGGCGATAAGATGTCTGGTATGACAAGACCAGGTGGGCGTGGAGTAGTCTCTCGAGTCACTCCGGTCGATGCGGGACAAGACAAGTACAGGTTCGCTCGCGGTACGGTACGGTACAGTACGGGGTATTTGTACAGCCTCTGTCGATGTTAGAATGCCAGTTGCCGTGCTACAGAGACTAAGGCAGAAACGGGGACGGAGACAGAGACTTGGTAGTGGGATTGGGCGGTCGAGGTGATTGAGGTGGTCGAGGTCTGAATTGAGTTGAAAGCTACAATCGGTGAAGAAGCAAGCAAGCCATGCAATGACGGGTTTGGCTCGCTTCGTGAATCCCGCTAGTGGAAGCAACGTCAAGCCAAATAACTCCGTCTTTAGCTCTCAATATCTCGAGTAGCGGCCGAGTATAAGTGTACACTAATAGAGGCGGTATGTAGGAAGTGTATCTGGTACAGTATACACCAAGCTACGAGATACCTGGGATACCGCGGCTATCTTGGGATATTCCCCTATCGCAAGCCCGAGATCTGCCCGTGAGTTATTTCGAGAAACGCAACGGCGGGGTTATTGACTTCAACGCCTCTTTGCGGAGAAAAGGACCAGGACCACGGCGCGCGACGATATAATGCGTCTCTCGGAATTAATAGAGATGATGAGGAACTTCCCAGGCAACAAGGATGCGCGTTCCTAAGACAACGGTACATATATCAGAATTATGTCGGGGCTTTCCTTGGTCAAGTTGGTTTTATTTAGGCGGCGGGTGCCACGGCTGTCTTCTTCGTATGCCTAGCGCTTCGCTCTGGTCTGGACCTGTCGCCCTTGGACCTTGGTATTTGGATGGCGGGCGGCGGATGGCGGATGCGAACGGCTTCTAATATACAGCCAAAACAATTTATATTGGGGGCTGGTGATGTATTGTGTCTTATAATGAGCTGACTGTGTGCGTTGGGGCCACTCTAAGTGAGATGTCGAGATGTTAAGTATTGACTCGGTACTTCGTACTTCTCTGGCCGTAAGCAGCAGGTAGATGGATACTTGTTACTTGGAGGCAAGTAATGATACAATAACGTGACTGGGCTTGGTGTGGAGACACTGCAGCTGGATCTGAGATTGATCTGAGGAGATGGATTTGGATGGATGCGGAACATTAGACCTGAGCTGCGCAAGCATAGTTATATGTCCTCCGGATACCCTTCTTGCATACATCATCCAGCCACTGCACCTCCTGATTGCTGCTCTTGACCAGAGTGTCTCCTCTTTCAGACTCCGGGCAGACCCTCAAGTCTCACTTAAGCTTGTCTGGGTCGAAAAATTATGAGTCTAAAAGATGATGGAGGGGTAGGATATTTAGGATGGGAGGGGGGTGTGAGAGGGAGGAATGATAGAGGGCAGCCACACTGCCACAGCTGATTCGTAATGGAACGCCGAAAATGTCTGATAGCCTGATTCAGTAGCCTGCCAGTGGAAGAGTACCTAGGTAGGTAGAGTTTGGTAGACTGAACGAGTGGAACAATATTGTCTTCACTGCTTTACGTCCCTTGTCCGATACGAAGGACTTACATTCCTTGGGGACTCGATCAGTCCACCGTCCCTTATCCGTTATCAGAGTGTTTGGTCTAGGTACCCATCTGCTTCTGCGTCCTAAGCAGCCTGTCTCACTATCAAGCAAGCGCCGGCGTTGTTGCCACTGGTCCAACAGCCGGCAGTAGTATATACGGAGGGAGTTAAACATTACCGGTACGCGCTGGCCCGTTGCTGTAGATCTCACGCTCGCCTCGCTCCCTCAAAGGCCCGAACCGTTGCGCTCGCCCGCTTCTTGCTCGAGGTATGGGCATGGGTATGAATAATAGGTATGGGGATGGGGATGGGGATGGGGATGGGTGGCCATAGCATGGACTGAACCATATACGTAAACGTGGACCCTGGCTGCAGAAGAGGGCAAAAGCCGGGGTTACGTTGCACAGTCGTGTTAGAAACTACGGTTCTGGTGCTTGTGGTTCTTCCCTTCCCTTCCTTCCATTCGATTCGCTAAGGCAGATGCGCTTGTGTTCAGGACAGAAAAGCGTACTTGGACGACAAATAATTTCGCCTCTTCTCAAGATTCCCATAACCATAACACACATACTGTACGGCCACCACCCCCCTCCACCTCAGCAAGGCTAAGGTAGTCCATGTTTCTTTGTCTCGTCTCGTCTCATCTCGTCTTGGCTTTTGTTTTCAATAACCTGGCTTTTCGCATACCACACCAACACCATACCAAGGAACCTCCACCAAACTACCACCCAAATCTCCACCTCGTTCTGCCATCTTTCACCTAGCCGGCCCGTCGCATTCCCATAGCAGGCCAACTTTGCCATCGAAGCCCGACTCCGACACCCACCTCCGGCCAATCACAGCTCCCACCACAATCACACCACCCCCCTTCTCCAAAAGCTTCTTTCACTAAGAGCTCAAGTTGGTCACGAGGAAGGGCGTCAAGTCGGGAACAATCTGTCTAGCTCCAACCCTGGTCGACTTCAAGAGGTCATTCGTTCGTCAACCCATTCAAACGCACAACATACCTGCAGAGCCTATTCACCCTCCTACTGGCCCCTCCACTCATTCTTGACTAGAGCCCGACTCTTTACCTACTTTCCGCTGATCACTTTCACTGCTGCTGCACTGTCGGCGGCTATCTCTCTCGATCGTCCTAATTCCTGCAGGGTAGGACGATAACTCGCAAATCTACGACAGACTAGAGCGGGGGTTGTAACAACCTTAATTCTCAACTACCGGCGATCTGTACCTACACCTACTATGGCATCCTCATCCTTCAGAGACTCCATGAATTCCCTCGGATGGTCACGCCGAGATCCGGATGTGCCTGTCAACACTGCTCAGCAGACCGGCCTCTTATCGTCAATCAAGTCGTTGAACCCTTTTGGCGACAGTGGCTATGTTAGACTTCCAACGACTGAGGGAGCCGGGGCACCACTTCCGGCCAGGACTCGTCGAGAAGAAGATGAGGCTTGGTTTGCTTGTGAGTCAACATATTCTTGATTCCCTTCCACGTTTCACTGTGCCTGCATCAGCCTTCAGCCATACTCACGGACCATGTGGGATATGCGGCCAAAGTGCAGCCAAAGTAGCTAGATCTCGTTCGTATTACTCTAGATAAAGATTTGAGAGGCTGACCCACATCTTCTATAGTGAGCAGATGGGACCGAATTCTTATCTTCAGTGGCTGCAATCTCGGTGCTCTTGCTTGTTTTGTTATTGTTTTTGCCTTATGGCCGATCATGATGGCAAAGCCTCGCAAGTTTGCTATCTTGTAAGTTCCCCCATCTTCTTGTCTCTGATGTTTTGCCTTGCAGAGGTCATCCAATGCGGTTTTGAGACAAGTTACTTCTCGGCAACCGCGCCCGCTGCAGGTATCCGTCTTGCATGCATCCTTCAACCTCATGCATACTCTATTCTCTAGCTCCGATTTCTTGATTTTAGTGCACCTTGTCAATATCGTATTGGACTTGGAATCAAGGAAGAGGGAGCCTATTATTATCTATTGAACTCGATATGATTCATAATCCGATCATGTATGAAGACTGACTGTGGCATGTGATACACCAGATGGTCCTTGGGTTCAGCCTTGTTCCTTGCATCATGGGCTGCTATGATGGGCCCAATTACTTATGCCCAGCACCTGATATCGACACCACGCCTCCCTTTCACTGCAGCTTATTTCGGGTCCATTGCCCTCACTCTATATTTCAGTCTCGGTGTAAGCACTTTCATCAACCTCAAATGTGTGTCTTGCTAACCAAGTGCTACTTGTAGCTTGGAAATACAATCTTGACCTTCATATCCTCCATTGTGCAGTTGGCTTGTTTGTTATGGTATCTAGTCAGCTACTTCCCTATGGGATCGAGTGGGCTGCGGCTTGCGACAACCTTTGGGGCTCAAAGAGCTGCCGCGTAAGTAACCCCTCGTTAAAGTATCGTGTAAGTACAAAACTAATTTACCTATGTAGTTGGGTGACAGGTTAACAGAGGCGCAGCAGGCACAGCTAAATCTAGACGCTCATACACCGCACCCAGTGCGAATTGAACCCCAAGAAAATCAAGTCTTCTCTCCGTCCTTATTTTTGAAGCGTGGTCATGTGATATCGCCTCGATGCGAATTGGTGAGACGCGTGTTTGCGCGTCAGCTAGTAACGGCAACCTGCTTGGAACTGAATCTTAGGTATTCCTGCATTGTTGACCTAAGAATGATATAATAGCCTTTCGGGCAATAACATCCCAAACATTCCATATTCCCGTGCTCCCGTGCTTTGAGTAACAACTCGGGTGCAGTGTTTCAACCAATAATGTTCCGCGATGCGTGATATCTTCAATTATACATTTCAAAACGCTCCATGAACAGGATTCAAACTACTTTGATTTTGAAATATGAATATAAAGAGGAGAAGTGTAGGAGTAGAATGGATGGTTTCCGGTAAAGGAGTCGGCCTCCAAATAAGTTTGAATTTGATTATTTAGATCTAGAATATTAAAATCCGTGCCTGGAGGTGGGCTTACCAGCAACAATTCTCACCCCAGATCACTAGGATGAGAGAAGTGAAGATGGGGGGAGAAGAGTTTCCATTATCGAAATCAAGCTGGCAGATTCCTATAAGGGGTGTTTTGCCTGTTCGTTGGCCGACTCGACTCTGGTTTCTAGGTGGCTAATACGAAGTACTCGTACACGAGAAAAGCCCACCATCTCTCCTACCCACCAGCAAGACTATTCTTAACGGTGGTTGAACCTGTGTTTCCTTATATTATTGAATAGGTTGCTTGATGAAGTGGAACATCTCGACGTCGCACGGGAATTCACGGGCTATTAAGAATCGGAGCTGTCGGATCAGGAACACACATTTACATTAGGTTAACTTAAATAGCCGGCACTATCTCAGGGTTGCAAGAGCACCAGGACAGGGCAGAGAACGCTCCAATAGAACCTCTTCCGGAGGGGTTCCGGTGCAGAATCAGCCATCCCATACCATTATTCAGCCGTATAAGGAATGAAATTCTTGAGTACTGAAAGGTTTGCAAGCATGATCAAGTAAAAATAAGTTTAAAAAGATAAGCTGGTACACCCAAAAAGTGTTGCGTTGGTTCGTAGTCAATAATTTGCTTTCTGTGCTGGTCCACAGACTATTTTGCGGGAAAGACTGCCGCACTAATTTTTTTTGATTCCATCAAATCAGCGAACCTCAACCTCTCCTCCTCCCCAACAGTGCCTCTTCTCTCCGTCTTCCTTTCGACTCTGCATTCAAAAAAAGAAAGCCAGAGAAGGATAGAGGACTGCTCACGTCTACTCGGTATTCTCTACGACCACGATCGACCTTTCTTTGCATTATTTTTGTGGTGCAGAACGTGCCGCACGCTTTGACGACGAGTGGTTTTTGGTCCCACGACCATTGCTGCCTCAACGGTCCAACGAAACGAAATATAACGCAGGTTATTTTTGATATTGAGGAATCGCTGGTACTATTGTTGCCCGAGGTTTGATGTTTGTTCCCGTTGGCTATCTAGACGTCTTTTCTTTTCTTGGTCGGCGCCAGAGATATTTGCGCACGTAGCAAAATTTTGCTGTCGCCGACCGAGATCTACCGCGTTTTGCATCTGCTACTCATCTCGTGCTGGAACCATTAAGCTAACATTCACTCTGTATCCAGTCTTTTGTGGCGCCATTGAAATTCTTCTTCAAGCGTCGCCAGCATCGTTTGTGTCATCAAACAGACAGACCTTCAGCTTTTCGCTCTACGCGAGTCTATCAACAACATCTCAAGTGTCAATTATCGGTACTTGATCTGCCTGTAATACCCACGATATCCCTCTCGAATCGAAACCCTCGACGATTGTGCGACTGAAATCTCGGTTTTTTTTTTTTCGCTCACGACCCCACAAAATCTTGCGAAGAATTGCCTCCCCCATATCCCACCTTCCAATTCAACCGACCTTCATTTCTAGAAGTCCTCCAAGAGAATCAGCAAGACCTACCTGGTCGACGCTGAGGGTGAGTCGTGCGGAGAGGTCGAGCACACCTCTCCGGACATCCACAATTGGAGGTGACTGAAGATCGCCTGCCAGTGGTCAAGTGGCAGCAGACAAGGCCTCTACTTCCTAGTATAATATTCCGATCCTCGCACGAGTCTCTTCAAATAGTTCACAATGAGCTCTACTACTTCAAGGCCAGCGGCAGAGGCTGCTCCAGCCGCACCTGCTTTCTCATATGCACAGGCTGCGAAGAGCCGTGTTTCTTCAGCCAACGCTTCAAGTGCTGCCTCAAATCACGCGGCTTCTGGCATTAGCACACCGGCAAAGGGGACGAATACCTTGACAAATACGCCCTCCGGTGGTTCGGAACGAGGCGATCAAAGTGTCAATGGAAGCATCGAAGCTCCAAGTCGGACTGAACAATTAGGGGATGGATCGAATACGGAATCAAAGGTGACGTCGTCAATAAAGTCCGTATCGCGGCCAGTGTCCCCGAGTTTAGGCACGGCGTCAACATCGACACTTCCAAAGGAGGACGACGACTTCATATTAGTGGGAGGACCAAACGATTCTGGACGAGAAAAACTACCGCAGGACAAACCTACGAACGAAAAACACTCCGATGGCAACGAGGGGAAAAAAGGCAAGAAGGGAAAGAAGCAAAAGAAAGACGAGAAGGGAGCAGCCGAAAAGGAGAAGGAAGAGGTCAAGCCAGAAGTGTTTGTTCCAGCTCCATTACCGACTGTAAATTTCTGGCAGAAACGCAAGGCTGAAGCAGCCAAGAAGCCGGCGGCTGTTGCCCAAACTCCGCAAGCTGAGCTCTCAACCTCAAACGACACTGGTAAATCTCCTGAGAACAAGAGGCGAGGCAAGTCCACTGGTGTTGAAGAATCCGAGAAACCGGTCAGTGTGGCACAAAACGGCGTGGCAAAAGATGCCTTGAGTCCAAGCAAGTCGCAGAAGAAGAACATAGAAGGATCAGGCAAGGCTAAAGAAGATCAATTGACGAAGAGATCTGGTGCGCGAGGAAGTAGAGGTCCCGAGGAAAAGTCATCGGCTAGCCCCCTGCCCCCACCTGTTGAAGATTCGATGTCATGGCCAACCCCCGAAACCGCCCTGGAGGAAGAGAAACGCAAAGTCTCGGAGAAAGTAGATAAGGAGGAGAAAGATGATAACGGTTCTAATAAACCTAGGCCGAAGGAGAAGTGGGTTCCAGTGCCGTACGTTCCATCAGTTGCTTTCAATACGCCATTGCCATCGAGAGGTGGTCGAGGCCGTGGAGGAGCTCGTGGGGGTCGAACAGAAGCTGCTGGTCGTTCAGTCCATACAGCCGGGGTAGCTGGAGACAAGGCACAAAATACCGCAATTGGCACTCCTTCCGCAGAGTCTGAAAAGCATCTGAGTAGAGGTGATGCTCCCCGTGCAGCTTCTTTACCCCCAAATTCAGCAAAGCGACAGCCAAATGATCAGTTTGGAGCCAAAGATCAACGCAAACCTTTGATCACGACCGGAACAGATAAGTCAAAGAGTGGCGCAAGTAAGGGCGAGTCTGGCGTGAGCGCAGAATTCACTGCCAATGCCAATGGTCCTGATATCAACCCCGACCATCCTCGAGGCGAACACTCTAGGGACTTCAAATCAGAGCAGGGTGTATCCCTTGATAGCAACGGTAGAAGTCCTGTCGATCGCAGAAGTGAACCCAACGCGAGGGCATTTGAACAGTCGAAGGAAGGCGGAAACTACGGCAAAGATAGCAATCGTGAGAGGGGAGATGGTCGTTCCGAACGTGGCCGAGGAGGTTTCCGCGGAGCCAGAGGTCATAATAACTTCCAAAATGGCCAGCAACATCCTCAACACATCTTCACCAATGGTCATGGGGCCCAGCCACCAAATGGTTATCCCGTTCGAAGCGCTGGTCCTTATAGCCCTCCTCTTCAACCGCCCCCATTTAGCAACCAGTACGCTATGCCACCTTCTAGAGGCGGACGTGGTGGTTCCTCTCGATCACAGTCAATACCCAATACTGCTAATATCTATGGCCGATACCCTTCCAATGGTGCTCCTAACTCCCAGCATATGCCATCCCTGCAGACTTCAAATCAAATGTACGACTACCAGCCTATGCAGTCTATGAGTGCTACCCCTTTTAATCCCTATATTGATCACATTTCGGTGCTTGCAATGGTAACAATGCAACTGGAATATTACTTCTCAATTGACAATCTTTGCAAGGATATGTTCCTTCGACAACACATGGACTCTCAAGGATTCGTTCTGTTGTCAAAAGTCGCCAACTTCAGGCGTCTTCAAGCTCTCACGCAAGAGTTTGAGCTGATTCGTCACGCTTGTGAGCAGTCGGACATTATCGATCTCGTTCGGGGAGACGATAACCTTGATCGAGTTCGAAGGAAGGAGGGATGGGAGAAGTGGGTCATGGCAATGGAAGAGAGACACGAGACGGCAAAAAATGATGGCCCGGCCCAGGTGTTTCGACCACACAGGTCTCACCAAATGGGGTCTATGATGATGCCTGGTAACCATGCAATGTCACCCCCACCTTTTTCCCCTAATGGAACGGAGTTTCGACCTTATGTAAATGGCGCACCGGCTGTACCTATCATAAACGGCAACGGTAACCACTACCATCCCGAGACTCCACTGTCAGCTGCTGTCCCTGACTTTGCTCCTGGTTTACATGCCCTGAATGGTGCACCTGATCCTCTCGAGGTAGAAACTACTTTCAGTGACGAGGAGGTCGCAAATCTTACTCTCGTCTTCGCTCAACCCAAAGGTTCAGATGAATCAAAACCTAAGTTACCATTTCACAAGGCATCCTCGAGGACGTTCTCCAATGGTTCTATCGACAGTAGATCAATCGCAGAGGAGATCGATGACAACCGTCAAGGGCGTGCTCTTACCAACGGGGCACGTGTTACCGAAACGTAAGAACTAGATGCTGTGCCCTGTTGTCCAGCTTGCTAACTGTTTCTACTGTAGTTCTCCTGATGCTATCAGACGCTCAAGAAGTCCATTTACCCCTCTTTCACCAACCAAGACAGCCTTCGGTAATGGACCACCTGTCATGTGGGTCAAAGGACAGAGACAGCAAGCTCCAGTCTCTGAGCAAAACTCCGAGGAGTCTTACACGGCCTTCCGTGCTCGTGCTTTAAAACATCGCGACGCATCTGCACACGGAGAGACCCACGCCGATATGAAACTTCTTTATGAATTCTGGTCACATTTCCTTTGCCGAAATTTCAATTTAACGATGTACAACGAGTTTCGAAGCTATGCTTTCGAGGATTCGAGATTACATGCCCTGAGCGGGATGCAGAACTTGATATCTTATTATGATGAGATTCTGAACAGCAAGAAGAAGGTCATTCCAGAGACCCTCGCACGCCATTACGTCGAGCTAGTTAAGAGCGAAGACGCCACCGACCGGCCCGCATTCGAAAAACTTCGAGCAGCGTGGCGAAATGGGGCTCTTGATATGAAGAGCAGAAAGAAGATTGACAACTTTGTTGATCAAAAGTTGAAGGAGGAACTTGAACGGGCTCCAAAGCAGAAGTCGGATTCATCCTGATCGCGTCGAATCGTCGGTCCCTTTATATTTGCGTTGGTGCTACTGTTCTTGAGCAACCCGTCCTGATCTATATCGGCATTCGAACTCACAGCAGATCGTATTAGCGTCCGACGCCTTTTGGCAAACATCAGCTTCAGCATATGCAGGTGAAAATGCTAAGCACCTCACATTGATTGTATCTACGAGTTTTGTTTTGTGGTATTCACGGCGTTTGTTAGGAGCACAGAAAGATTGGATGGAGATCTCTGCCACATCTTGGCAGTGTGCTTTCATCTCCATCACATCGAGCATGACTTTCTTTGCTATTCTGTTTGGTTTACAACAGCACATGTTCATAGCTCTGGCACACCCACATGTCACCCAAAAGTCTAGGCAGATTCTGATTTTGCCCGTCAGGCGTAATGCTTTCTTCTGATAATGGGGCCTGCATGCACGCTTCAGATTGATGGTTTTCCAAAATTTGGCTTTTCGCGTCCAGTTCTACTTCGATACCTCATATGGGGGTGGCCGGTCTTACAAACAAATATAGAGAAAACACGAACCTTGCTGCTTGTATCATAGCAAAAATATCAGCAAAATCCTTATGCAGTGTGTTTTATATTCAGTGAATAATCATGTTGTGACTTGAAGGAGGTCTGGCCTAACGTCTGCTGTGGTCTATGTTCCCTACTGCATCTCTCGAAGTGGGCTTGCCTTTAGAACTTCCTCTAGCAATTTTGATCCAAGATGTCTTACTAGATTCTCGTCTTCACAGCCGCATCTTCTTATTCCTGGTTGAATTCTGATTGTCCACTTGGAAGTGGGATAGTAGGTCTTTGAGACTCCTCGAATCAATTGACAGGTTGATGCTTCCTAGCAATCAATGACTGGCCAATTGAACACTCTGTCGGCATAGACATACCCTGCAAGGTGGAATAACAGATTGAATTTCGACACTTTTCTAGACATTCACTTTCAATTTCCCAGATCTGTACTCGCCTGCAATGATTCTCTCATCGCTCCTGCCTGTAACATCTCACCAAAATCCAGAACTCAACCTCCGAGTCTCTATATACCGCTACTCGCGGCCAATCATAACACTACGCACTGTATAAACACGTCAATCCTTGAACATAATGTCAACCCCCACAGCTCCCATCGAAGTTGGCAATGGCCCAAAGAAACCAAGTCTGATCTCCGTAGACGAACTCGTCAAGATCATGGAAGCCAACACGCTGCAAGACGATCCTCGAGAGAAGAAAACGGAGCGATCTAGCAAGCTTGTCAAGGCGTATCTGATCCAGAATGAGCCTGAGTTTGTTAGGGTCATGGGGTTCAGAGATAGAGTAAGTTGTGTTTATCAGTCCGGGGTGAATTTGAAGGGCGACGACGCTCATACAGATTGCTAGGGTTGGATGCAAAACAAGGACAAGGGTGATGCTTTCTTCAAGGCGCAGCGTGAAAGAGCGGATAATACGGATATTTCCGGGGAGCAGAAGTTCTTTCGTATGATGATCCAGATTGCTGATGAGATGAATGGGATGACTGGAGCGTAGGTTATTGGGGATTTCAATTGTATCCTATTCCGGCATGGTTCTTGAGCATTTGCTCTAGGGACATCTCACGGCTTCTGGTTCATTACTTCATACTCTTCTTAAACTTCCCTTAACACTCAAACTGACCTTCCTTCTCTGCAGTCTTTCTCCGCAAACAGCTCGCGGTTCAGATATGAAGGTTTTAGATATATGTATGGCACCAGGAGGATATACTGCAGCGGTTCTTAGGTTCAATCCCAGGGCCAAAGCTTTCGCAATCACACTGCCCATGGAGCAAGGAGGCCACCCGATTCATATTGAGCGGAACCGTTTGGCGGGGCTTCAGCTGTTGGATGTCGTAAGTGATCAATTCGGTTACAAAAACATACAAGTCAAGATAGTCTATTATCTTACATTCTGCACGCGCCCGTCCATTTTACTCGAAATTTGTTCTCAAAGAACTTACTGACTCCCATACTGTTATGCCATAGACTATGCTTGTCAACGAATATACCGACAAGCCAATCACACCAGGGCATCCAGACCGAAAGAAGTTCCTAACGATCCGTCCCTTTAAATTCCATTCGTTCGATCTGGTCTTCTGCGATGGCATGGTTTTGAGAACCCAACAACGCGAAGACTACCGAGAGGGGAATGAAGTTATCCGTCTCTCTACTTCGCAGCTCATTCTGGCAATGCAACGAATTAAGGCAGGTGGCACATTGGTCATGCTGCTGCACAAGATCGATTCGTTCCCGGCGGCGAATATCTTGTATAAATTCAGCAAATTTGCGAAGCTCGAGGCGTTCAAGCCACAGAAGAAGCACGGTACTCGAAGCTCGTTCTATATGATAGCCAAGGATGTGCAGCCGAGCCACGAGGCAGCGAAGGCTGTGGTCGCAGAGTGGAAGGAGGCCTGGTGGAAGGCTACGTTTGGAGGCGAGGCTGGTATAGGAGAGCCGAAAGTAGACCCCCCAGAGAGCGTTGTGTTCAATATGCTAGAAGAGTTTGGAGAGCAATTGATGGAAATGGGTCGCCCTATTTGGAGAATTCAGGGGGATGCGTTGAGCCGGACGGAATATGCTGGTGATGGATCCATTGACATTGCGCGTTCCGAGACTGCTGTGGATTTGTCAGGCACTATCAATTCATCTCCTTGGAGAGATTTGCGAGAGAGCTTGAAAGAGAACGTTCCTCTTCAAACTTCTGGCAGTCCAGTCGGACCATCTTCTTGGCGAGCTTTGAGAGAGAATGTTCCACCTCAAAGCAGTGCTAATCCTGTCACACCATCTCCGTGGGATGTTATGAGAGAAAGTATGAAGGAGAGACTTCCTCCTCATAGCTCCCCTCTGCATAAGGACCTAAAAGGTATCTGAGAGTTTGCATGATCAATTAGGTGGTCAGGGTACAAGGATAAGGGAATAGGCGTTTATATTTGGCTTGGGGCGGGCAATAAGATAGCATATGTTGAGCCTCTCGTAGTACAGCTCGCAGAATTCATTGCAATTCGGTTCTGAGATACACATTCAAATATAATTTGTGACACCTATGACTCGAGGTACCAGGGGTTAGGCTGGGCTGGTCCAATTCAGGGGCACCCCCGAAGCGAGGCGTTGCTGTGTTGGCAACCAGAATATCATTCGAGAACCACCCACTACCAGTCAGAGTTCGCATGAGCCAATTCACACCAATTGACAGCACTTGATAGCATTGATTGATTGAAGATTCTAGTTACCTCTCATCCCCAATTCTTGAACAGGGTCTACTCACAAAGCAATTAGGGTCGAACTCATCTCATTGCGGGGTTATCTCTTATCAGCCAGTGTCAACAAAGCCTATTGAGCGGTCAATCAACGAACGAAGAATGCGGTCCAACGTTCTAGCTACATCCCTTTTCCTCCTCCCCATATCCGCCCTCCAAATCCCCTCCATCTTCGCACCCTTCTACGAAACACACACCGAATCCCTCATCCTCTCCAACGAAACGCTAATATCAGCAGAAAACGAACCCCACGACCTGTTAAAGAGAGATGGCTCTTGCCCAGCCAACTTCGGCTCTTGCTCAACCCTCAATGCGAAATACGGAGGCGCCTGCTGCACAGCAGGTTCGATATGTACTACCGACAAAGCGAAGAACATAGCTTGCTGTCCGACAGGTGCAACATGTACCGGGACCCTGGCCGCTGCTACTGCCGCTTCGACAACTGGAACTGGAGGAGCAGTGCTAGGAGGGACTACAGCTACAGCCAGCTCGAATTCCGCAACTACAACAACGACAAACTCGGGCAGTTCGGCGTCAATAACTGGCACTGCATCTTACCCCAGCAACCCCTACTTCCCATTCCCCTACATCGCAACCTCATACCCCAACTCGGCAGCCTGCAACACGGCGTTCCTCGCCTGCCAGACCAACTACGCAGCCTGCACGGCCGACCTTCAGGGCGGCAGCGGCTCCAACTTCGCTGTGACCATCATAGCGCCGTCGGGTGGGGGCGTGACGGTTAGTCCGAGCGTGCAGAGCTTGGGGACTGCGAGCGCGACGAGCATCTGTAGTTCGCTGAGTAGCGAGGCGTGTTTCAATATCCAGAGTGCCAATTGTGCGCAGTTTGGGAGTGGGGAGGGAGGCAGCTTTGTTATTAGCGGGACGGCG